ATATATTTTGCCTGTACCGCCAATTTTATGAGTTTATGTACATGAGAATAGTTATAAACAAATAATGCTCTTTTAATCAAAAGTAAGCTCAATTTCAAATCTTCTGTATTAGTTTTTGTCCCTGTAGCATCTGTTTTTACACTACAACCTTAAATTCTAAAAGGCTTTTGTATTGTTTAGAACATGTTAAATGATTGTATGTATGGCATTTATTTGTTTGTTTGTATCAGAATCTGCTTCTTTTTTTATTATTGGCAAACTTGGAAAACAGACAACTTTTTTCCTCTCTCTTAGTGGAGGTCTCAGTGCATGATAAAACTATCGAGGCAGCTGAAGCTCTGCTCCACATGGATTCACCAGCCAGCTTGCAGGGGGATCGCAGTACAGGTGTGTGATTAAACGCAGCACGTTAAGATGTACCTCATGTTTTATTTGTTCTTAAATGTCTTAATTAGTTCTTAAGCTTTTTGTGCTGTCCTAACTTAACAAAGTACTACTTAACACATATGTAAATCACATTTGTATGAAGAGTAACAATAATGATTGATCTCTCTCTCTCTGCAGAGGAGCTTTTGTCTGAGATGGAGGTGGAAGTGAGAACTGAGGAAATGGGATCTGTTGTCCTGCAGGAGGCAGATTTACTGAAGAAGAAGAAGAGAGGTGAACCACAGTTTGCTATTACCCCCTTTAAGACAATTAACTATAGCAACGTTGGGAAATGAATGCAAGTTTTTGTTTATTGCTGCGTATTCTAGTACATTGCATTTGAAGTGTTAAACTGCACCTGTGTGTAAAGTGCACTTGCAGCTCAATTTCTTAATTACAATTGAAAACTGTAATTGTCTAGAAGAGATTCATTTGTTTTGTGTGATCTTCACCAGCAGGACGAAAACCCAGAACTCCACGAAATTGCTGTGATGGTTCTCTGGATCTGGTCTATAAGAGGAAATCAAAAGACAGCAAGGGTGAGAGTTTCTGTTTATTTAATTGTGCAAGAAAATATTTTTTCCTGGTGCCACAAATTTGAAGTCTGAGTCTTACAGGCTCAACTACTTACCTGTGGGAGTTCCTGTTGGACCTTCTGCAGGACAAGGAAACCTGTCCAAAGTACATTAAGTGGACTCAGAAGGAGAAGGGCATATTCAAGCTTGTGGACTCCAAAGCGGTGTCTAAATTATGGGGCAGACATAAGAATAAACCTGACATGAACTATGAGACAATGGGGAGAGCGCTTAGGTAATGTTTTGCCTGTCATTTTAGATTTATTTAATCAATGTTACCAGTGAGCAGAAAATGTTCCAGCAGCCTTGTCTTGATTTTTATTTATTTTCTATTGTGTGTGTGTGTGTGTGTGTGTGTGTGTGTGTGTAGGTATTACTACCAACGGGGCATTTTATCAAAAGTGGAAGGCCAAAGACTTGTGTACCAGTTTAAGGAGATGCCCAAAGACATTGTTTTCATAGATGATGACAATATGGACGACAGCATTGACGAGGGAAAGAGAGAAACCCCAGCCGCCTCCAATCGCAGCAATCTAAAAGGCAAAGGGACACCAGTCTCTCCCTCTGCTGCTGTATCTAAAATCATCAATCTATCCTCAGGACAAGATGCCTTTATGACCGTGCAACAGTCACCAGAAAACATAGCAACAGCCCCTGGGTATGGTATCAAAATGTCTAAATTTGAACCTTTCTACTGCTAATAGCAGGGCCCTATGAACTTGTAGAAACGATTTCATAGCTTACTGCTTACAACCGCACCTATCACAATGCTTTTTTCATTGTTTGTTTCCAGGACAGTGAGGCTGGCCATGCAGGTTCCTGTTCTCATGACGACACAGGGTCAGAAATTCTCAACAGTAACTGTCAACTCACCCTCCGTCCGCTCATCCATCCTCTCCATGCCCAACTCTGTCACTGGGGGTAACAGCGCTGGCAAAATGGTTCTTCAGGCCGTGCCAACGCTAGTGCCTGCTCAGGGGCAAAGCGGTGAAAGAATCACCTTGCAGCTCATCACCCTTCCCACCATGCCTGGAAAACCCGGCACTCCCATCACTCTGAGCACGTTCTCCCCCGTCACCGTGCCTACCAGCAACACCCAAGTCTTGAAGCTCGCCATCCCCTCCAACATCACCACATCCACCTCCACAGCTCCTGTAACCGTGGTGACCTCGCAGCCAGGGGTGACCATGGTGCCGAACGTACAGCCAGCAATGTCTTTACAGGATGTGACTATTATTAAGGTTGAATCTCCTGAGGTTTCCGTGGATCAGACAGTTAACAGTGCTGCAGGGAACACGCCGAGCACACAGACAAACCCCACGACCACACAGAGCTGAGCAAACATCAAATGTCACTGCACTCACAGGAACCGACATCAACACTTGTGACAGATACAAATGAAATGAGTGACGTAAAGACTGGCTGTCTGCTGTGAAACAGATGAAACCAGCACTACAGATCAGACGCTTGTTCACTCCCTACACTATAACCACCATGTGTAGCCTCAAATCTCGATTTTGGAAGGCCTTTGTTCTTTCTTTTTCTTATAATAATCTATTCAAATCATGCTTCGTTATAGTTGACCATCTGTGCTCTAATGCTGTAGGAACGAACCTCACTTGGTGCTAAAGTTTGAGAGTAAGTCATGGGTGAAGAGAAACGGCCAAGATGCTCGTTTTGATCACCTGGTAATTTGGAGCATAAAAGAATCTGTGCATAGATGTACCTTTGCAGTAGTTAATGATAAAAAAAACAAGCAGCCTTAGGTCAGCTTTTTCCTCCTAAGTCATTACTAAAAGTAATTGATTGTGCTTTCTGTAAATATGATTTATTTTTTATATTTTGTACCAGAAAGTTTTTTTTTTTTTTTTTTTTTTTTTACAGTTTAAAGGAAACTGTTTTCTGAAAGACATTTAAATCATTTTTTTTTTCTGTTATCTCAGACTTTTTAAAATAATTTCCTTTCTGTGCATTTATCGCTTTGTGGTTTCCACTGCTTTTTATGCTTTGTTTTTCATGTGTACAAAAAAAGGGAAAGAATGTCTGATACAGTATATTGAATATTCAATATATGAAGCATATATTTTGTTGTATTCTTACCCCCAAAATGTATCCAAGTAGATTTAAATATAGAGAATTATGCAAACAGCTGGTTCAAATGATCTTTTTCTTTCTTTCATTAATGTGTAAAAGGTACCTTTTGTTCATTAGTCCTCACAGGGTTCCCACAGTCATGGAAAATCTGATAATATCAAGGAATTTTAAGTCAATAAAAATGGAATAATATATATATATATACATACATGCATACAGTACTGTGCAAAAGTCTCAGCCACGTTAGTATTTTCACACTAAAAAAAATGGTTTTAAGCCAGTTATTTTTATCTTTTGCTATTGCTTGTCTGTAGGAAATATCAGTTTACATTTCAATACATTCATTTTGCCATTAATAGTAATAATCCAGTGAGATTTTTGTATGCACAAGGAGTCTGACAGTAGCTGGCATATGCAGGATGCTCCACATGGAGATCTTTTCTCACCATCATCGAGTTTGTCTGGAATTCCATGAAGAAACAGAAAAAACTGAGACAGACTAAATCAAAAGCTGCGGCAACGTCTCCAAGATGCTTGAAGTAACCTTCCTTTAAAGCTGCAGTACTGTGAGAAAAATGCTGTGAGGTGGCTTTCAAAAATTATGCCATAAATAGATTTTATTTATCAATTAACTTACTAGCTATATCAAATCAATATTTGGGGTGACCACCCTTTGATTTTAAATCAGCTTTTGTCCGGGTACACTTACGCTTAGTTTTGCAGGAAGGTTTAAAGCATCATGGAGACGTTGCCACAGTTCTTCTGGATGTAATCGGTTTCAGTTGTTTCTGTTTCTTCATGTAATCATAGACAGACTTGAAGATAGTGAGATCAGATCTTCGTGTGGATCATACAGACTGGATTATTACAATTACTGGCAAAAGGAATTTGGAAATGTAAACTGATATTTCCTACTGACACTATACAGCAAAAGATATAAATAACTGTCTTAAAACCATTTTTTGGGGTGAAAATACTGACGTTCCTAAGACTTTTGCACAGTACTAACTATATTATTAAGAATGGTCAGTTCTAAAATATTTCTTCAGTTAGAAATTACTCTCTGTGAATGTGATCTTGATCAAATTATAAACAAATAAAAACTTTATTCAGAAATCACAATTGACATGGAAAAAGGATGGAAATTCATTGGTCAAAGTGTAGGCATGAAGTTTGATCTTAGTAATTTCAGTTCAATATCTGCCAGTTATGAAACCATAGTACACAACCAAATAAATATCAACAAACTTTCCCTAAATATACTGTATGATATTAGATGCTCTACCGTAGAGACTTTAGTCTGTGGCGTGTACAGGGATTACTGTAGAGCACTTTACTAAGTTGTTAACTTTGAACAAAGCCTTGCTCTGTATGTCCACTAATTGGCTCTGAGGGATTCGGGCCAGAATAGGTTGGCTTTAAAGCATGACAATCTTTGGATCCGGATCATAAAAGTTTTCACCTATATGCAAGGACAGCGTGAAGTAGTTGAAGTATAACTATGTTAAAATATATACGAGTCAGTCAGTTCAATATTAGTGTGAATATCAGTAACGATATCAAAATTCAAAAGAAAGACACATTTCCAAAAATGTCTTATGATCAGGTAAGTAGCTTATATGCTGTTGATTTTTTAACTTATGAAAATTTTTTTTGAAGATAACGTTACAAAAGTTTTGTAAAGCTGACATTAGACATAGCGATTGTATTCATATCAGATATGGTAAAATGGTTGACATTAATAACTTGATTATACAATTTGAATAAAAGTTTATTTTTTAAGTCTGCTAAGAGGACCATAGGACACTTACTGCACTCACTTAAGTGTCAGGAGGACTGATCTAAATTTCCCAAAACAGTTCATTTTTTCTTATCATTAAAGAATGAGACACCACACAATTTAAGTGCACTGTTATGTTTTGTATTATTGGTCAGTGGCAAACATATTGATGATTACAGTGCTACTAAAAGAAAAAAGTACAGTCAATATAAATATAAATGTTCTTTCACTTCTGGAATCTTTTAATTGAGAATGTGCCTCTTCCTGAGATCATCCTTTAACACTTAATAAATTACAGTATATTGCACAACCTCTGTATAACAAACAAGAGCATGATAATAATTAACCTCTAAGGAAAATAATGTGCACAGGGGTGCATTACGACCTACATAAGCAGGTAAAAATAAAGTTTATGTGAATAAGATAATTTACATTCTGAGCAATAATACAAATAATGCATTCTCACATTCAGACAATAGATCCCTATTGGAGAGCACTAATGATTGACAGCTACATGAGCCTATGAGGCTGCTGACTGAAGCTAAGGTCACACACCAGTGACAGATGATCAGAGGGGTAATGGTACGACGGAAGCCGGTCCGGCCCGATCTGCTCTTCACTCGGGATCCTGAGCACAGCGTCCACCTGGAACGCTCTTTCCGAGTACCAAATGTAGTCCAATGTGGAGCAGCTCTCTCCGCTGGGCCGGATCTTCCAGCTGGTGTAGGGCGGCTCTGTGGTCCCGTCCTCACTCAGACACTTGTAAGCACTGTCTAGCCCCAGCGGAGAAGTCATAAAGCGCCTGTACACTTCCTCGCTCGGCTCCGCGTTAAAATCCCCACATACCACCAACGGAATACCCTGTTCACTTTCCCCAACCCTAGTCCGGTTTTCCTGATCCACCTCTGGGTATGACTGTGCGGTTATGTCGCGGAGTTGCTGGAGGAGATGAGCCCCCTGTGCACTACGAAACGCCTCCCACCCGCTCCGCGCTTTCAGGTGCGTCACTGCCACGCAGAAGACTCGACCTGTGAGCCGGCAGCGAAGCGTCACCACGACGGCCACCTGGTTGGTTTTGAGCATCATGGCGGAGAGCCTGAGGTGAGTGGTGTGGAGCAGCTGGAAGCGACGGCGGTTGAAGAACAGAGCGCATCCGTCGGGGCCGTTGTTATTGTGAACGTCCAGGCAGGGAGAGCACGGCTTGGGGCAGAAGCTGCTCTGGTAGCCCAAGCTGGCGAGCACAGGCTGGAAAGTGTCGAAGTAGTGGTCAACCTCCTGCAGGCACAGCACATCCGGCCTGTAGGTAAGGATCTCTTCCAGTATCAGATACTTCCTCTCAGACCAGTTCAATGCCTCCATCGGACAGCGCACAAAACCGTCCTTGCCCTCACCCAGAGCTACAGATACACAAGAAAAATGAAGAATTATGTCACCTTTTGAGCATCGTATGGTAGCATTGCAGTTAAAGGTGAAGTGTGTTCAGTCCTAGATTAATATAAAGATCAAGCAAGGGTTTTTTAAACTGGAAGAAGGTACTAGGGTCTCCTCAGGAATTTTGAAAAAATATAAAATAAATGATTTTTGTCAGTCAAAAAAGGAATCAAATACAAGACATAAGCAGACAGACTCTGTACCTTGTGCTAAGATGTTCCACTGCATGATGCGGAGGGGTGCGTTCTGCAGTGAGCAGGATCTGGTCATAGTAAAGTCTCGGTGCAGTCGAGGGGGCCGGTTCCTCAAAACCTCCTCACACTCCCGCAACAGCGCATCTGGGTCGGCCGGCTCATACTCATAGTCATCAGGATCCACATGTGGGTCTGACAATGCAGAGCTGCTCAAAGTCTGGGCCAGAGTACTGAAGAGTCTACTGCTGCTGCTACTGCCCATCTGACACACTGCACACACACACACACACACACACACACACAACATGTTACACACACTCTGGCACAGTTGTAGAGGACAGTTTTTGGAAAACTTTACAGATTCATAATAACATATAGGTATATTATAGGTGCTTTAATTGGACTAAATAAATATTTTTTTCATGTTTTTAAATCATTTTTAGTTTTTTGCAGTTCACTTTAAAAGTCCTACAGTGTGACAAATACATTTTACAAACATTGCACATAATTTGAGGACATAAATGCTGCATGTAAAATACATATGCAAAATAGTTAAAAAATAGTTTTAGATTACTTGGCATGTTACAATGCAGAAACTCACTTTTACACAGTACGCTATGTGAAAGAAGACACTAAAACCAAACAGGAGCCAATGAAGATATAAATAGTAACAGTGTATGGCACTCTGTATGACAATATAAACAGTAGCATGATGACAGCACATGGTAGTTATTTAAAGTGTAGATAAATTAGGCCTAAGAACTGTCTGTTGTTGTTCATAATGTGTATTACCTGGGCTTGTCTTAAATACAGTATGTCCGCATGACAACAAAATATGCACACTTCATACAGCTTGAACAAAACTGGATTATTTGGTTATTTGCTACCTCGCAGTGTAGTGTTTAAATGTGGAAAAGCACTTTAAAAGCATTGATAAGTTCACAAGATTGCATGGTTGATGGTCTGTGACTGTCTGCATCTGTCTGGGCTTGTTTTTAGTCTTCAAAAGAGGTTTAACTAGTTACGAATCACCTATTAACATTATTGCAGTTTGTGCATGTTTGTTGGCTTGTATGCTATCTCTATAGACAACATTTCAATAACCTCATTAGCAAAACAAACCTCAATGGAAACAAAGACATTGGATGCTAGTTACAGATAATTCTGTAAATTATTCATCTTGTTAATGGACAATGGGTTAACTGCAGCCATTGGAAACTGCTGGCTACTGTCTCTCATGACAACTCAGCCTCACTCGCAGACACAATATCGAGAACAAACTGTGCTATAGGGAACACTGACTGATCTTCCTGTGGACAAGACAAGCAATCTTTATTAGTGCTCACTGTTTGCACGAGAATCACTCTTACTGTTGCTCATATATATAACAAACTGGTTACACTTTATAAGGTGTATTTTTAACACTATTTAAGTACGGACTAATATTAAGTAACTACTTGTACTTACTATAGGGTTAGGTTTGGTTTAGGGTAGCATGTAATTATGCATAATTTATAGTTATGTAACATACAGTATGTAACAATGACACTGTAAAATAAAGTGTTACCAATAAACCTTTTATTAATTCATCCCTTGGTGCGTATTAACAAGCATGTCTGATACCTCAAATCATGTAGCTTGTTAAGGAGAGGTTTTCTATTACTTTAATAAGCAACACCCAACTCAAGACATACATTTGTTTTTTATCTAGGAGAGAATAAAAAGGTTCTCGTTTGACTTAAGCCTGGCTCACACTACAGGAGTTTTAGGCCGATTTATGCCCGATTTTCCCCTCCCGAGAATCGGAGAAAAAATCTTGTCGAGGACCTCGATCGGTTCCGATGTTCGGCACAGATTATCTGGTAATGTGAGGCATTCACAGATCGAATCTTGCACCTCCCGATCTGCTCTTACATAAATCGGGCTCGCCCCGATCATATCAAACATGTTTGATATTTATCGGGATGAGCAAGATTGTGATTACGTCAGTACTGTCACAATAGCCAATAAGTAGGGCTGTCATGGTGAAGGAATTTCCATTGAGGTAATTTTGAGTGACTCAACAGCGCAATGCGCGCATTATCTCCATTTATCCATTTATTGCTAAATAAATAAGCATAATACAGTATAATAAATAATAATAAAATACTAAATGCATAATAAAGGCATCTGAAATAATAAGTAGCCTACAATCTAGTGTTGTCAAAAATATAGATTTTTCGATATCGATCCTGAACCATCTGCAACTCTTCCGTCTTCCGCAGGATGCACGCGATCTTCAGTAGTGAACGCGCCAGAGAGAAATGCACATTTCATACGGATTACATAAGCAGAGTGCAGTCTGTAGTCTGTTTTCTTTCGTTTTGAATTGTTCTGTTTAAAAGTAGACATGTCTGTGAGGCAAGTAGGCTATCTTATACGCTGAGTTTCGGTTAATTTATCAAGTATCGCCGACGCCTCCGTTTCGTGATTATCTATCGTCTGCTATATTTACTTCTTATTTATAAAAATCCAGGCAATTGGTTGATGAAACATTGTTTAAAATTAAGATACAATTAAAACAAAACGAAATTCGATTTAAAGAAAGGTTTTGTGCTTTCTGTTTGATGTCTTTGTGAAAGTTTTAAAGCATATTTTAAAGTCGCTTAGAGCGGTCATGTCCGTGACATTGTTTTTTCCTCAAATGCCAACACGAAAAATAAAATAATATGAATATTTTATGTTCTGTGGAGACTGAGAGCCCTTTCTTCATCCGGTGGGTAGTAGCTAGGCTATTACTTTGGTTTGCACAGTGTAATTCACAGAATTAGGCCTAGGCCTACACAAAAATATTTTCATTATAAAATATTTATATTCATTATAAAGTTATAATCATTCAAAGATAGGTTAAATGAAACAAGCTGTTAATTATTTTAATTTTAACTTTGAGCTCCACTTTACAATGCTCAGCTGAGCAGCAATGGGCATTGAGCAACGCTGCTGATGCGTTACCTTATAGAGATCTATAAGGTAACGATTTTTTTTTTTAAAGAAATTGATACTTTTACTCATCGAGGATGCAATACATTGATCAGAAGTGACAGTAAAGACTTTTATAATGTTACAAAAATACATACATTTAAAAGAAATGATGTTCTTTTGAATGCTCTATTCAGCAAAGATTCCTGAAAGAAATGGAGATTTCCTGATTCTGAAAGATCATGTGACACTGAAGACTGAAGTAATGATGCTATATATATATATAAATAAAGTAAATAGTTATTTTAAATTGTAACAGAATTCCACAATATTACTTTTACTGTATTTTTGATTAAATAAATGAAAATTGGTGAGCATAACAGACTTCTTTCATAAACATAAAAAAACACTACTGACCCCAAACGTTTGAACATTAGTGTACTTATATTTATAGTGTACTTATATACTTAATTACACTTAGTGTAATTATGTTCATTTAAATACTGATTCCGATTCATTTATCTCATCTTACAAATCACATCTGACTCATCCTGTTCCACCTCTGTCTCCTCCTTTACCTCCACAAGAAAAATACATACTTCCAGTGTCTCTCTACTTGTATGTGATTGTTTATGTCTTCGTCATATCGGAAAAGCATAATCTTGGTATTATTTATATGTGACAAGTAAAGATTTTCCATTTATTAATGGAATAGTCAAGTACTGAATACTCAGGGCTGTTCATGGGTGAGGTTGGTCATTCATTGCTTAGTAATCCTTTAAACCACACAGCATCCATATTTAAAGCAACAAATTACATTTTAAATTCGTAGGTCACATTAATCTTCTATTGTATCAGCATTAAAAAATCTGATTTGTCATCTAGTCTAATTTAAAACTCACTATCTCTAGACACATTCACTGTAACTAAATCAATGACTATTCAAGTGACTGTACGGTCTATGGTCCGTACAGTCACTTTCTCAAACATTTAGGACTAATATTAGTCTAAAACACTGAGAAACATGCATTTCTTTTAAAACTACCTCTTATTTTTTCCTTTTCCTCTGAATGTCTCCGATGCAGGTGAACTAAAGGCACAATATTCTTCACTTTGACTTTGTGGGAGTCCAGGACTAATTCAATGATGATCCAGTATCCGATCAGTGGGTCAGTGAATAATACAAGTTGATAGACGGAGAGAACACTAGCATACACCCTTTGAGCTCTTTTGCTTTCGTATGCGAAGATTCTGGGGGCTGTGATTTGACCGTGTGTGTATCTGCGTGTGTGTAACTACACAAAGGGGTTCCTGAATGAACCATTGTGTCTGTGCTTCCCCTACCATTCATTTAAACAATGACTCGTTTGAAAATCACGAGAGAGACCCGATGCATGCCTGCGCATACATGTGCACACAGCCATGCACGTGGGTAAAGAACCGTTCAGGCCTAATTTAATCTATGGATTGAGGCTCATTTGTCGCAACATGGCATCATGACTTTACGTAAACATACACGCCACTTTCAAGTCAAGTGGCGTGTTATCTATACGCATTTTGAGCTATAGGCGTGTGTGTCCACGCCGAAACGTACCGTCATCTTTTGCATGTATGTCTACTCCGTTAAATGTCCGAGTGATGCTGTGTGTATGTACACGCCGTTAAATGTCCGAGTGATGCTGTGTGTATGTACACGCCGTTAAATGTCCGAGTGATGCTGTGTGTATGTACACGCCGTTAAATGTCCGAGTGATGCTGTGTGTATGTACACGCCGTTAAATGTCCGAGTGATGCTGTGTGTATGTACACGCCGTTAAATGTCCGAGTGATGCTGTGTGTATGTACACGCCGTTCAATGTCCGAGTGATGCCGTGTGTATGTACACGCCGTTAAATGTCCGAGTGATGCCGTGTGTATGTACACGCCGTTAAATGTCCGAGTGATGCTGTGTGTATGTACACGCCGTTAAATGTCCGAGTGATGCTGTGTGTATGTACACGCCGTTCAATGTCCGAGTGATGCCGTGTGTATGTACACGCCGTTCAATGTCCGAGTGATGCCGTGTGTATGTACACGCCGTTCAATGTCCGAGTGATGCCGTGTGTATGTACACGCCGTTAAATGTCCGAGTGATGCCGTGTGTATGTACACGCCGTTAAATGTCCGAGTGATGCTGTGTGTATGTACACGCCGTTAAATGTCCGAGTGATGCCGTGTGTATGTACACGCCGTTAAATGTCCGAGTGATGCCGTGTGTATGTACACGCCGTTAAATGTCCGAGTGATGCTGTGTGTATGTACACGCCGTTAAA